GGGAGGGAAGGGAGGCCTCTCATCTTTCCACGGCAGCAACAGGAAGACCAGGGATTGCACCACATGGAAGAACAGCACACACACATGCACACACACCTGGGACCAAGGCTAACATGTTCAGACCTTCGGCAGGAAGAGACACGGGACAGCGCAGAGCGGTTCAGATCTCCAGGGGCTCTTTGGTCTTAGTTGATAGTCCTAGAAAAAACAACCTGCAGAGGTGGTTGTAGCACAGCTGTGTAAGATCTGTGGGGTATTTAGTGTTTGGCAACTGCAAGAGGGGAAAACAGGGCTGTGTGTTACAGGAGGGGGAAGGAATGGAAGTACAGTGCTGTGTTTCCAGGTGTGCTCCTGGCTTTGCAGCCCGTCAGGGTGTGGGCAGTGGGAAGAGGAAGGAGGGTTCCTGAGAGGACCACGAATCCATCTGATGTTACACCAACAGAGGCAGGGAAGGCCCACCTTGGCCAAGACAGAGCAGCTGGCTGTACAAAAATGCTGCCTGTGACAGCTGCAGACTGTAGCTGCATTGTTCACACAATGACAACGCCCTCAGCTCCTGCACAGGTGATGTGCAGAGGAGAAAGCAGACACAGCTACACACCTGGGGCAATGGAGAGGTGCTGTCACCTGCCCCTTTCCTCAGCAGCTTTAGCTACACAAGCCCTAGGCTTCTGATCCAACCTGTGCCCATCGTTGTCACCTCCCTCCACGGGCTCGGGGAGCACAGGAGGGAGTATCAGAACCAGCCAAGCTTGTTCTGCCCCATGGAGCTGCACACACCCAGTGCCTCCACTGATCCCTCAGCTAAGACAGGGGGACAGGACAGGCAAGCTCCAGTCCCCAGTACAGCACAGCTACATCTGCTGACGTGTCTGAGATGGAAGCCAGGAGAAAGATGTTATGGGACAAAACAGGTGTTTCATGGCCAACAGCCATAAACCTGGGGCCTCTAGACAGGCTGGTAGCACAGTTAAGCTTTCAAAATGACTGCAGTAAATTCATTCCATAACCCCTGCCCTAGGTTTGTGTTTTATTCAGGAATTTAACATCCCCCCCTGCAATGCAGGCAACAGCCCCTGTACCAGATCATACAGCAGCTCTGGAAAAATAATCACCAGTTACACTGCTCACAGACAACTCAAAGACCCCTGTTGGGACTAAATTCCACTAAAGGCAAACCCCGGACTGCACTGCCATGGAGGAGGAGGAGGAGGTGATGGTTTAGAGACGGCCACTCCTGCCCCTGCCAGCTTGTCCTACCCTGTGCATAGTGCGAAACAGTGCAGTCATTCACCAGAGAAAGTTCAGGACCAAGGAAACTCGGTTCCCTTTCAGCCAATCTTTTAGAGGAAGGAGAGGCAGTTCTGTTTTAGCTGGGCCGGCACTGGACTTGCCCCTCTGAGCTGTCTTCATCGTCTGAGCCTCCAGCCCCGCCACTGGTCAGTCCTGTGATCCGGTAGCCCATGTTGAGCAGCATCACCTCCAGCGGGTCCGCGTTCATCCGCCGCTGGTTGGCTTGGGAAGCACCTTCCATGTCCACGACCACGCGGCCGTTGAGGGTCTCGCTCTGCAACACAGCGAGGGACAGCACTCAGGGCCGAGGAGGGGCTGTTCCTGCACTGGGAGATCCCAGCAGGAGACAGCACCCAGCAGCGAGGGAGGCTGTGACCGCAGCTCTTACCTCGGGCCTGGGGTTCCAGAGTCGCACGACCGGGTCAATGCCGCTGGTGGCCAGGAAGCAGTAGCTGGGATGAGGCTGCAGACAGTTCACAATGGACTCGTCTCCCTGCAGCACACGCACCAGGTTGGTGGTTTCCTTCTCCCAGATGAAGAAGGAGCCATCATCCGAGCCGCTGACGATGTACTGGGCGTTGCTAGGGCAGAGGAGCAGAGACTGGGGGTAACGCTCAAGAGCCAGGCTCCGGCAGGCTGACAATTTCACGTGGCTCCTGTCATCAGCCGGCTGACACCCCTCACACTGGATGTGTAATCCAGATAAAGCTCCCCATGCTGGTTCCCTGCGTCCCCAGGAGCCCTGTTTTCAATCCCACATGGATTTCTGAAATGCTAGCCCAACCAGCTCCTCTGTGCATCTGCTCCTCGTCAGCTGCTCTTGCAGCAACACGGGAGAAGGGCTCCTGTCAGCTTGTCCCAACCCTCCAAACCGGTGTCCGTGTCATGTCATGAACAGAAACACGGGGCTACACGTGAGGCTCCACGGAACAGATCACCCTGCTGCTGCTCACTCCTGTCCTGTGCCCCTGCCACCGTCTGCCGGCATACCTGCCAAAGAAATTGGCCTCTTTGATGTCTGTGGTGGTGTTACAGTGGCCGCAGTAGCGGAATTTGTAGTCGTAGCTGCGCTCCCTCAGCACCATCTCGTCCTCAGAGATGGAGTCCTTGCGGCCCGTGGCTCGCAGCCGGATGGGGCCACCCCCCTTCTTGTCTTCAGCTGCAAGGACAACACATTTCCCTCAGCACCACTGGGGGAGTTCTAAACAAAACACACCCCAGGAGACCCCAGCAGCCTCAGAGAAGGGTTAAGGACAATTCCAGCAGGGAGCAGGGCTCAGAGCATGAGCTTCCTTCCTTCCAGATTATCTCCCAGCTACATCAGACTCCTTTTATCGCACGCTCACTCAAGAGCAAACCAGGACCAGGCACAAGGCAAGAACAGGCTCAGGCCAGTTTTTGTGCACAGCAACAATCAATCTCTCTCAGAAGTTGGAGCTTTACTTCAGAGGGATAGTTTAAGGAGGAAAGTCCTTGTGTGCTCATTAGATTTCAGTGTAACCTTGGAGAAGCCCAGGAGCAGCAGCACTCACCGTTATCACTCTTGGAGAAGAGAGCAGCATTGATGTCCCTGTCTAGTGCATCGCAGGCACTGCTGTGTGCTTGTTCTGGAAACTTCCCTTTAAAGTCATCCAGACACTCCAGTGCTTCTGCCACGTACTTGAGCTCAAAGAGACAGCGGGCGAGGCGGAAATGGGCCTTCAGGTGGCACGGATTTAGGGAAATGGCCTTCAAGCAGTCCCTCAGAGCATCGTAATGGTCCCCATCCCTGAGGAAAACAGAGCAGCGGATTAGCCAGCCCCAGCAGCAACAGCAAACATTTTCCACTGCTGTTTCCCAGCCCTCATTTCACTCCAGAGCTTGTTGTTTCCAGCTCTCTACACAATCCCACACCCCAGGAGCTCACTAACAGCATTTGCTGTGACTCGGGGGCACCACCTGACCCAGCCCAGCCTCCCCAAGGGCTCTGGGATGTGACCACAGCAGGCTGCCCCGCCAGCCCTGACCTGCCATTTTAAATCCGAGAGAGCAGAGCTCCCTGCTGCAGCACATTTCGGGAAGTCCTTTGAAGATGGAGGCTGCAGCAGCCCTCTGGCCAGGCAGCAGAGCCCTCCCGTGCCAGGCGGGCTCCCTGTCACGGCTCAATCGTGCCCCTGTGTGGACACACGGCACAGCTCCGCAGCCTCCAGCACCGGCTAACGCCTCCAGCACCAACCTCCTCACACCTCTGCAGCAAAAACCTTGGAGCTTTACAAGTGAGCAGATTTTGGATCCTGTTTACGGCCTGGTTTCCCTGAGCTCGGGGCTGTGGGAGCGAGGCCGTCTCTGGCTGTGCTCTGGAAGCACGAGGGACTTGTTGAGCCTCGTGCCAAGCTCAGCTCAGGCTGGCAGGGCACACACCTGGGCTACCAGCACTAGCCTCAACTGCTCAGACACCACAAGCTGCCAAAACAGAGTGCCAAGGCTCCACTGGATGGTTAATAACAATAATAATAATGATAATGTTTCATACCTGTAACCTACATGCCCCACTGTGACTGCCCCATCCCTGGAAGTGTCCAAGGCCAGGCTGGACAGTGCCTGGAGCAACCTGGGATAGTGGAAAGTGTCCCTGCTCATGGTAGGGAATGGAATGAGATGGGCTTTAAGGCCCCTTCCAACCCAAACCATTCCAGGATTCTGTGTAGTGCACCTACCGAGGTCCAGAACACTCCCAAGGAGGTGATGAATTCGCAGAGCAACAATTTTAGATCATGTGCAACCTCTGTCAGGGAGGAAGGGACCACTGGAGGTCATGCAGGACACCTTTCCTGTACAAACAGGGCACTCTACAGCACATTCCTCAGGACTGGTTTTGAGTATCTCCAGTAAAGGAGACTCCACACCCTCCGTGGGCAGCCTGTCCCAGTGCTCTGTCACCCTCAGAAGCTCCTCCTCACGTGCAGGTGGAACAGGGAAGAGGTGTCCCAGTGTCTGGACTTATTAAGGAGAGCTCCAAATCTTGCAGAAGCATGTTTGGCAAACCCTCCACCCTGCAGCTCCCTCCTGGTCCAGGTAGCCACCAGGGCCACTGCCCAGCACAGCCCTGCCCATGAGATCTGCAGCAGGACACGGCTCTCCAGGGCTGCAGCACTGCCAGGGTTAATTCAGGACACCTCTAGCCAGGGAAGGAGGGAATGCAAGTCACCTGTTAGGATGACAGACAGGTGTCTCACACCTGCACACCTGACTGGGCTTTTAAACTGCTTTGCCACCCTCAAACATCCTTCAAGCTCAACTACCAGCGCTGGCAGCCCAACAGGCTGGTGTGAAGATGGACGTGGTGGGATGTAAAGCAGGCTCTGACTTCTCCCTTTGTTACAGGATTGAATCAGCTTGTGCAAAACTAGAAATCAGCTCAGCACTGCCAACGTGGACTGCTGAAAGCAATCCAGAGGGGGATGCAGTTGGCTTTTAGGAGCAAAATTTCAAAGGACAGCATTGGAAGTGCTGGAAAATATGAGCAGCATCTTAAGGGAGATGAACAAGGGGAGGTTAGGAAATTACAGCCCTTCTTTTTTTCCTGCTCTCTCTGTTATTCAGAGAATGAGGCCAAAGCGGGACCTGCAGGGTTCTGAGGGTGGCCTGTACCTGTTCCTGCTCCAGACATCAAGAACACCTCAGAGACATGTGGTGGTTCAGCCTGGGTCACTGTCTGCCTCTCCTCCTGCTCAGTGACATCCCAGCCACCTTCTCCACACTCCACAAACTGTTCCTAGCAGAAAAGTGCCCCTTTTCTGCACCTGGAAGGTATCACCTCAGTGCTATTTAAATCCTACCCCCTGCATGCCACAGAAATCCACTCTGTGTATGTTTTTCACATCTTCCTGCTACCCAAAACTGTGGCAAAGCAGTAGCTGACACACTGAAAGGTTCAGATGTGCCAACACCCTTCGGGAAAAACGATTCCTATAAGAAAAATGTCATTCATGAGATCAGCACTCAGCTTCTGTGTTCCATCCCTTAATCCCAACCTATTGTTCTCCTCCTTTGGAACACTGAGGTCTTTTTGAGGCAGCTCCCAAATCTCTGCTATTGCAAAACAGCCAGTAGGCCAGTTACCAACAGTCACAACAACTGCTGGCTGCTCTTTATCTTGGCAAGAAGAGAGGAGAATTCATACTGGGGATTTCAGCAGGGAGAGGAGAAGGATATCCTCACAAAGCAAATGGAGATGAAGGACCACAGCTATTTTAAATATGTTAATGGCAAGTCATGGTACTCAGTCTTACTCTGCTCAAGGGGACAGGCACTAAAATAACTCAGCTGTATCTTGCGGATGCAGCTCTGGCCAGTGGTCAGAGCAGACATCACCTACTGCAGAGGCTGACAGCGTGTTTTGCAACCAGCAGGGCAGAATCTCCTCCAGACTGTGAGGATCTGCCACCTCCCCAGATCCCTCCCTGAGGTTTGTTTCCAGTCAAAGGAGTGTGGGTTAACTGGGGTAGCACAGGAACCACCAGGTCTGAGTGTCTGCAGTGTGAGGTACTTGAAAACAGCAGCAACCAAAGCCAGCCCTGAAACAACCTTCTGTCATGAGATGTTATAAAGCACAGTCACCATTACGTCATGTGTTGACAGCAGGTCTAAGAGCCCTTCTTTAATGCAAATCAGAACCACCCAAATAAACACAGACACCCTTGGAGACACCCAGAATACTGTGAATCAGAGGTGGATCTTGGGTTTCTTTTTGAACAGGAAAGGATCAGGATTTCACACAGCACATCAGCAGGTGAAACAACAGGCTGCTTACCTGCTGTGCCTCCCCAGAACTTGTCCAGCACCAACTGCTGGCACCTTTGTGCCAGAGGTACCCAACTATGTTTCAATCTGATAACCCCAACCCCACCTGACAGAGGGATGCCAGGCCCTTCACCAAGGTGGCCCTTGGGAGCCACCTGCAGTGGCACTGCCCCTTACCACTTGCGCTTCATGTAGGCAGCAGCTCTGTTCCCATAGAGCATGGCATTGTTGGGGGCCTTCTGCACAGCTTTGCTGTACAGCTGGATGGCCTGGGTCCACAGCTGGCAGGCAAAGGCCTCATTGGCTTGTTGCTTGATCCTCTCCAGGTACGGGGGCAACTCCACCTGGGGGCTGCAGGGGAAGAAGGGAGCAGCACAGGTTAAGTTGTATATCCTTCACTCCAGGTCAGAGCCCACAGTGCTCAGCTCCAGCTTAGCTGAAGATTGCTAGACTTCCTAAAAAAAGGCTCAGAAAAGGCAGAAGGGACTCCGGACCTGAAGAACCAGAATTCAAGAGGAAAGTTTGGTTTTGACCACAGAATCTCAGAATAGCCTGGGTTGGAAGAGACTTTAAAGCCCATCTCATTCCTCCCCCTGCCATGGGCAGGGACACCTTGCACTAGCCCAGGTAGCTCCAAGCCCCGTGGACACTTCCAGAGCAGCCACAGCTTCTCTGGGCACCCTGTGCCAGGGCCTCACCACCCTCTGGCAGTCTCTCTACATCAGTGTGACCATCACTTGACTGTTCCCATTTTTTCTTCATCTACAGAGACACACTCCAAATTGAGCAGTGGGTATTTTAAGCATCAGACTTCACCAATACGTCTTTGTTTCGACTGCATAAGCAACGTTTCCAATCCTCTTTTAGCAATGCACAACAATGCACATGCAGAAGCATCTGAGCTCACCAGGCCCATGCTCCACAACCCAAAATTCCAGCCCCGTTCCTGCTGCCGCGGTGGAGGGGCCATCTAGAGGAGAGGAGCTGGAACAGCCCACAAAGAGACTTTGGAGGAACCCAGACTACCCATATATGGTGTTAAATAAGTGTCTTGACTTTGCACCAAGTCTCATCAGCTGGAAGATAAACAGCCACCAAGATGTGCTGCTGCTCCTTCACCCCAACTGCATTTTGGTCTTAAAGAAAGAAATCAGCAATGGAAGAGGCTCCATCCAGTCCTAGCTCCCATGCCAGCAATGGCTGTAGTGTTCCAGTGTTGTCACAGTACAATTCTGGCAGCTTCAGTTCCGTTTGCAGCAGGAAAGTGCCCAAAAAATGGCAAAGGGAAGCAAGGTTCCTTCACGTGCCAGCCTCTGCCACTATCAACACACAGTTCCTGCAGGCCAGGAAGCAACCACCACTCAGGACACTTTGCTTCCAGGCCTGAAAAACCATTTCTTAGTTTTGTCCACCTTAATTCATCGTAAGAGGAAAAACCCTCACAGACAATTTCTCCCAGGATGCTCTTGCCTGGTCTGACTTCTGTTCACAGCCCAGGCACCAGAGGCCAACACAGCCCCAAGGACAGAGGCCACCAGGCCATCCAGGAGCAGGGCAAGGGATTTGCCTGTCGAGAGGCAGAGGACAAGGACAAAGCCACAGAACCCCTGGAGGGGCAGCTGTGCCCTCACCTCACGTGTGCCCTTCCCTCGGCCAAGCGGAAGCCGTTGCTGTGGAGATGGATCCCGTTGGACACTCCATTGGTAGAGGTTTTCCCATTCTGCACTTCTGAAGGTTAGAAAAAGATACAACCATGCTAAGTATCAGTGTAGATTACACAGACTCAGGGTTTATTTTACAGCAGGGCCAACCCAACACGAACAAAACTTCCATGATTCTACCTGCTCCAGCCACCCGGATTTGATTTGTCCTCTTACATTTACCAACCTCTGCAGTGTCCTTTGCAATGCAATTCTAGACCAGAAAACCACACACACACAGATCTAAGTGCTCACACAGAGCGAGGGCAGCTTGAAGGGAATTACCTTTGACTGATGTCAGGCCATGGTTGGGCTGTCATGGAATCCTGGAATGGTCTGGGAGGACACCAGGACCTCAACCCCTGCTCAGTCCCCGAGCACAGCTTTAGGCACTCTCAACTCACACACACACCCCTCTCCCCACAGGTCACTCTGCCCTCATGCTTTGTCCCACTGCAGAGGGATTCTGGAACTCAGGGTATGAACCACACTGCAGACACAGCCCAGCAACTGATACAACCCACACCCTGCTTCATTCTCCTGCTGCACCCTGAAAATGAGCTGTGCAGTACAGAACTCCACTCTGCCGCTCGCTCCCTTTGTGACAGCATCACACTTACCCCCTGAAGTGTGGCACTTCTTTGGGAGGAGAAAAGTGTATGGTCGCTGTTTGTATGTCAGATCAAACAAATAGACCTGAGGAAAGGAAAAAAGAGCATGAGACAAGTCTGCAAAACAGAGATGCTCAAGTCAGAAATAAAAGAGGGCTCAGTAGGTACACAGTTCCATGTTTGTGTTTCCTATTTCCAATTTTCTCACTGGTTATCTTTTTTACAGACACACAAGGGATGGCAGCAGGAATTGGGGTGTGTCCCAGTCCAGCCCAGTTCAGGGAGAATAACACTGAGAAACAGGAACCTGGGCTTACTCCATACCTGCAGAACTTAAAAGCTGACCTGACCATTGGCCAACCTGCCCAGAAAGCTTCATATTTCAATAAAACAACTAAGATACTTCAATTAACACAATGATAATGAAGAAACCAAACACCTATTGACAGAAAAGAGGTGGGACACTGAGGAAAAGTCTCTCTGAGATGAAATCAGTATTTCCCAGGGGAAGTGGAACTCCCAAGGCAGCTCTGTGAAATCCCAGTTTACAGCTGTACTGGGACAGGACAGGACAGCCCACGGGTCCCTTCTCCTCAAGGGAGCGAGTGCACACGTGAGAAAGAGCTGTAGAGGACAAGCACAGTGCTACCTGCCCACAAGCAAAGGTCCTGTTTAATCCACACTGATTAATGCTGGCAGGAGGATTTTCTCATTCCATTGATAGGCTTTACAAAAGATCCATGAGTATCACCCAGAGCTTAAAATTAAAGCAATCAATATTCCAGGTGAAGGCCTTTGCTTCTCCAAGTTCCTTATTCACTACATTCTATTACAGAAGCAGTTTGATGTTTCAAGAATGAGTTATGAAATCCTTTCCAGGTCAACAAAAGTCAGTTCCAGAACTGGTTTTGTTTATTTTCTTTCTCCTCTTCCAGAGAGTGAAATGTGAATTGGAAAACCACAACAGAACATGGTTTAACTTTGATCAGTGACAACGTAACAACTATATCCCTAATCCCAAGTATTTAGCCTGAATAAATCAGAAAGCAGTTTAAAATCAATCACATTACCCACAGAGAAGCTGCTGTACCTATTTCCAGTAGCACACAACAATGTCCAGTGACCCAAAGTGAAGCTTTTCTGCCTCCTTACCTGCTCCCCTCCCATGTTGACCAGGAGCTCGGTGCCGTCGGGGCTGAAGGTGACGTACGTGGCCACCAGGACCCTCAGCCGGTTGTTGTAGTCTGGAAGCTTCACCGGGAGGTGCCCTGTGGAGAGGACAGGTCCATAATTATTGGTTTAACTCTTAACAGTTGTCTCTGTCCTACCCCAGCTGCCCCCTTTCACAAGAGCAAAGCCATGGAGCACGAGCACCAACGTTTTCCATTTCCTGCTGTTCACTGGATCCTTCCACGAGGAACCAGGACATGCACAGGTGCCTGTTCACACGTTCTGGGTATTGCTGCCCCATCTCTGGAAGTGTCCAAGGCCTGCCTGGAAGGGGCTTGGAGCAGCCTGCTCCAGTGGAAGGTGTCCCTGCCCATGGCATGGAACAAGGTGTGTTTTAAGGTCCCTTCCAACCCAAACCATTCTGTGGTTCCATGACTCCAATTCTGCACAGCCACCTTCACGTGAAGAGAAGAATTATAACTGCCTTGTTACCAATGAGCCTGCAGAAGCCAGAATCTCAGTTTTAGGGATTCACTAGGATTTGGCTTTTGTGATTTGCAGCCATCTGCAAATACCTCCATCCTCAACCCCCTAATTAGGTTTCCTTAATAAAGCCCTCAGTGCAAGAAAACCAAAGCTCCTAAATATTCAGCTCACACAGAAGTTCTGTTCTTCAGACAGCAGATGTGTTGCATGACCAATTCAGGGGACCTGAGGAATCCTCTAGTGGGACTCATCAGGAGCAGGACTGTCAGAACTGGTCTGCTGAACATGCTGGTCTGAGATATTTAAAAAAAAACACAAAAAACCAGAACATTTTGGGGTAAAATATAGTAAATAATGAGCTCTGGAGAAAAATGTCATCTAGATTGCTCAGATACTGCATCACTGATTCTTCATCTGCAGGATGAGGACAAGTCACTTCTGTGCCAAAAGGACTCTGAGCAGCAGCTTTGCTGGGACCAGTGCCAGGAAAGGCTACAGAGCCCAGGTTATATCCCACCCTTCACTTTCCAGGAGGAGTGACAAAAACACAAGGCCAGCTCACCACCCCAGTGAAATAACCTGCAATCCACACAACACCCCATGGAACAGATCCTCTGAGCAGGGGGTTTGTGTGCGATGGGTGGAACTGTTTCTTCAGGCAGTGAAGTTCCCCCAGTGCCCCCCAGTGTCCCCAGTGTCACCCCAGTGCCCCCCAGTGCGCTCAGTGTCCCCCAGTGTCCCCCAGTGCCCATACCTGCCACGTAGTACTGCGCTGCCCCGTCCGGGAGGGGCTTCTGCCGGTCACAGAACGTGTGCACTCCAGCTGAAGGACTCTGCTTCATACTTTTCCTACCCAGAGAGAGGAACAGCCTTATGACAAGCACAGCATTCTGCTGCTGGAAGCCATCTACACTGGATCTACACTGGCTTTTCCTGCCCATCCACGAGGACGAGGCCTGCTGCCCACACAGCTATGGGGTCACACCACCCCGGTGTACTCATCAAAAAGACTTTGGGTGATAGAAAAAGCGGAGCAAAACTTCCCAGAAACAGGCGAGTGCTGGATCCCTGCAAGTCCCTCCCCCCACCAGAGCCCAGAGCAGATCCCTGCAGCAGGAGGCTGCCCCCACAGCCAGGTGCTGTTACCTGTGGTTGTGGATCATGCGGATGTCGTAGAGCCGCACAAAGGGCCCGCTGGCCCCCACGGCCAGGTAATTGTTGTCCTGGGGGTTCACTGTCAGGCACTTGGCCTCCACCAGCTGCCCACAGTACTCTGTCAGGTCTATCAGCACCTCGGAGCGTTTGCTGTTCTCCCGCAGGTCGTACTGCCTGCAGAGGGATGGGTGAGGCAGACACACCATGGCTAACAGGCAGCAGGAAGAGACTCACACAATGTCCTGAGCTGGGAGGGACCCACAAGGATCACCAGCCCAGCTCCTGGTCCTGCACACACACCCCAACAATCCCACCCCACCCCTGAGAGCGCTGTCCAAACGTTCTTGGAGCTCTGGCAGCCCTGGGGCTGTGACATTCCCTGGGGAGCCTGGTCAGGGCCCCAGCACCCTCCGGGGGAAAAACCTTTTCCCAATATCCAGCCTACCCCTCCCCTGACACAGCTAAGAGAGATGACACCAAGGACAAGGACAACAGCCATTTGTGCCACAGGTTGCTGGGAGCACCTCAGCTCAACACACACTAGGCCTCAGTACCAGGGTAGTCATTAAAAGCAGATCTATAATGTGCACAGATTTATTAAAGTTTCAAATTAAGCTCCCAAGTCATGACCTATTCCTTTCCTCCCTTTCCAGCAGTGAGGAAAATGGAGGAGCTGAGGAGAGTATTTATGACTCTACAAGATAAATCTTTCCAGTTTGAGGGCAGCCTCTCTTCAGGTCTGTGCACAGCACACATCGTGATGGCTCCCAAACCCAAACCAACTGGAATTCTGTACCTGATTAAGCCATCTTCTGCTGCACTCCAGAAGGTGTTTGGCCACATGGGAGCCGTGGCAATCCGCTTCACCCTGTTGGTGTGATCTCCAAACATGTGCACCGTCTCCTTGACAGTCAAGTCATGGACGTGCACCTTGGAATCTGCAGCTCCAGTGATGAGGATCCGATCCCCCGAGTGCGGCAAGAACTGCGGGAGAGGGATTGGAACTCACCTGGAGAAGCACTGAGGCTGCTCACAGGGACACCCTGGCAGGCACCAAGCAGGAATTCTGCTTCAGGAACGTGAGCTGATCCCTTTATACAGGTCAGCATGCACACTCAAGCAGCACAGCACAGGAGTATCTCCATCACACATCCCAATTTGCTACAACCATTTCCTTCCAATTCACAAAGAGAATAAGCCTGGGATCTGCATAAACTAAGTGCAATATTAGATTTAATCTTTTTCCCCATAACTATAAATATTAAACTTTTTTGGGGGGAAGCTGCTTGCAGAAAAATGTTTCCCAACGAGGATTTATCCTGTTACTGCTCAGGTCGCTGTTTCTGTTAGCTGCTCATTCCTTCTGAGCACATACCTTGACAGAAAAGATGTTTGCAGTGTGTCCTGTGTGCATAGAGAGGAGTTTCTTGTGGTGCAGAGGATCCCACACAATGGTATGCTGGTCATCAGAGCCAGAGGCCAACAAGCTAAAAGGAGCAGGAGACAAATATTCACCATGAATTCTGCTGTTCCACACCGTGCCTGGGTCCGTGGAGCTGTTTGACCACAGATATCCATGAAGTTAATTCAGCCCTAACCAGCCCATTTCCTCTCTTCCCTCAGCTGCCTGTTCCTGCTGCTCACCATGCACCCATCCCTTCAGCTAGGTCCAGGAGCTGAGGCAGACAAATAGCAACTCCACAGAAAACACAGCTGGCAGCAGCAACTCACACGGACGGCGATGGGAAAACTGGAGTGTTTGGTCAACAACAAAACACAGGGCCTGCACCTTCCTTATTACCCTGGCTGTGTTAACTGCTCTACATCATCTCTGAAGCCCAGCCAAGGCATCCATTCCCAGGCTCCAGAAGTGCCCAGGCAGTCCCAGGGCTCATGGGGTGAACCACAAACTGCTTTTAAAGTCATTTCAAGGTGCTCTTCGCCTTGTGCATCCATCTGCACCTGAACCAAAGGAATCTTACATCTGCAACTCTCAGCTCTTTTAAACTTGGATTTCCTTGTAGCCATTCTCTTCCAAGCACATGGAATTTTCACTGGTAAATAATTCTGAAGAGTATCAGAGGGCATACTTTGGATGTTATAAGAGGCATGTGTAGAAATACCCACTCCTCCTCCAATCCACTCATTTCTCACATAGAAACTCTTCATTCCACTTGGTAACTGGAAGTTGCTCTTTAGCTTCCCTCTAAAATTGCAGAGGGGTGAATTCTCTACCTCCTTCCATTGGATATTTGTCCCCCAGCAGCAGCTTTGAACAGCATGGTGAAGGGGGTGGGGAAATGTCACCACCAGCTGGGCAAATCCTAAAGATCCATTATAATCCATAATACCACTTAAGAGAAGAGAAGCAGCCCTCAATCTCCACTTCTTCGTCTGACCATTTCCCTTCTGAACTCACTAAAGGGGCATTTCTAATAATATCCAGATATATTTAACAAAATAAAGCTTCTTTTGAAGCGTGAGCTCTACTACAGCTCAAAATTTGAGCTTGAGCTCCACTTTACTAGAAATGGGAAGCAGCTGCTTATGATAACATGACCTACATCCTCCTCCTGGGAAAACCTGGGGTTATGGCTTTGCTGATTCCCCAAATGAAGCCACATACTTACTCTCCTTTTTCATTCCATTCCAGACAGTTGACACACCCAGAGTGACCCTGAGGGAGGGAGGCAAGGGAAGATGGTATTACTCAAACCTCAGACGTATCAAACACAGCTGTCCTAAGACAAGGACACAGTGAGCTCCTCACAAACAATAACTTTGTCCACTAAAAGCAGTGTTTTTTTATTCTAACCCTGCAAAGAGCTCTACACACTTGGCAGATAAGCACCTCCAGAAAAAACAGACATGCTAGAGCAGTTGGGGTAGAAAAGGCAAAATGAAACAAATGAAAAAAGGTAGTGTTGAATAAAATGGCAGTTTAGTCTCAGAGGCTACAGCTGAAATCCTGCTGTACACATGGAAAGGTGACTTTGCTTCCAAAGCCCTTGGCTAGGCTGACAAATTACATGTACAGGCACTCTGGGAACACAGGGAAAATGCACTTTTGATAGCTCTGTTAGAAGCACCTTGCTGCTGGGTGACTACATCATCCATCTTCATCCACATTAACCAATGACTGCACCACAAAGTGGGGGAGTGCTGAGCAGCATTTGATGTGGGAGATGTGATTGAAAAGGGGGACAAAAGAATCCTTTTCTCTCCCAAACCAAGATAATCTGTGTTAGAGGCTGGCTCAGTGGGGTAGAGCAGGGTGTTGACAATGCCAAGGTTGTGGGTTTGACCCCCAGATGGGGATGTTCACATAAGACTTCAATGATCCCTGCGGGTCCCTTCCAACTCAGAATATTCTGTATAATCTTAAAATCTTTTCTATGGTACGTCAGACTGTGCTACAACCTGTTCCTTAGGGATCCCAGTAGAGCTGAGTATGTTGGACAGCTGACAATTGTCTTCTTCAGGTACCAGTGCTGAGAGGAGGTGGTGCCCACCCTGCTGAGGGCTCTCCTGTAGGTGCCCCAGGTAGCGCAGAAAGCCCACGCAAGCTCTCCCTGAGCTACTCCTGGCTCTAATGCAGTTTGGGGGTCCAAGAAATCAGTATTTACCTCATAAAGCAGAGAAGTTCAGACAGTCCTGCAGTAAGGTGCACACCAGGGAACTGGTCTGCTCTCTGGACACTCACCTGCAGCTCAGCCTCCAGCCCCAGGCGGCGGATGAAGGGGTCGGTGACGTGGTAGTGGCGCTCGAAGCCCAGCGCTCCCCTCTCCTGCAGGAGCAAACAAGCACCACACTGAGCACGGCAAGCACAACACTCCTTTCTCCCTTGCAGAGAAGATTCGTGAAGTTTAAAAATCACACCAGGTACTGGGGTGTCCACAGGTCCTGCACTGTAGTAGGGAGTCACAGAATCCCAGAAGGGTTTTGGTGGGAAGGGACCCTTCCAGTGCCACCCCTGCCAAGGGCAGGGACACCTTCCACTGTCCCAAGCTGCTCTAAGCCCCATCCAAACTGGCCTTGGGCACTGCCAGGGATCCAGGGGCAGCCACAGCTGCTCTGGGCACCCTGTGCTGGGCCTCACTGCCCTCACGGGGAAGAATTTCTTCCCAATACCCCATCTAACCCTGTCCTCCTTCAGCTCAATGCCATTCCCCACTCTCCCACCACAACACCTCCTTGTGACAAGTCCCTCTCCAGCCTCCCCATCCTCTGAACATCTCCAGGTGGGCAGATCTTGATCTTTGCCCCTGAACTGATTTCAAAGGCCGTGAACCTCAGTGCCAGGCTGCAGCTGGGGAGCCAAAACCAGCTCTGAGAGGCCCAGACTGAGGCAGAGTGAGCTGACCCTACCCTGGGCCTCAAACAGAAGCTGTGGAACAACTTGGGAATGCCTGTTATCACCCCTTGGCAAGGATTTCAGCAGGACTCAATCCTGAGCACAGCAGCACTGGACCAGAGCTGCCCAGGAGAACTCTGCCACTGCAGAGCCCGTCCCAAGGCACCAGCAGCACGGGGGAAGAGCTGGGGAGCAGAGCTGGGGAGCAGAGCTGCCTTCAGGGATGGGTGATTCCTCAGGCAGGGAGCAGAGCTGCAGTGCCACGGCACAGGCTGTTCCAGAGCGATGGGAACAGCTGCCACAGAGCTGCGGCAGTACAAATGAAGGTGAAGGAAAGCAGGACACTTGTTTCCCCTGTGATCTCACAGGGCTCACAGATGCACCAGCAGATGGCTCTGATGAAAGAAGGCCAACTGCAGAGGCAGGAATGAAGGAGAAAGAATGCAAGTCAGATTTTGGATGGAACATCTAAACGTCTATGGAGAGTCTTCCCTAGGACTTGAGCCAGCTGTGGTCCCACTCCATGCCACACTCATCAACTTGGTCATAAGCATTTAGAGATGGGAACACCAATGTCAAAATCACCCTGGTGGTGCCCAAAAAATCACCCTGGTGGTGCTTGGAGCACCACCAGCAGTCCTAGAGCAGACACTGGAGTGCTGAATTCCCTTCCCAGAGCAATGCTCAGTAATGAACACACACCAAAAGCCATTTGAAGACAAAATGGAGACAGACATAAAAGGATTGAAGGCAAAGCAAACCAGGCTTTTTGTAGGAGCTTCCAAGACAAACTTCAAACCCCTTGATGTATTTTTGTGGAGAGCATTCCTAAAGCACTGCAAGGCCCATGCAAGGTGCTGCAGGTATAATTCTGTGCTATTGCAGCCTCAGTGGCTTTGTGAGGGCTGTGGGGTAGGATATTGCTTTTCCTACAAGGAACTGCCTGACTTAGCAATCTTCCCAAGGTCACACATCAAAGTCTGACAGAGCAGACAGCCTGAGACAGTCCCAGGCTAAGGCTCAAACCACAGATCCAGCCCTTCCTTGTTAGGGCAGCAAAACAGATCTTTGCACATGGATTAAATTACAAGCTTATAACAGAGTTTGGTACCGAACTGCAAAGTGAGCACTCCAGCTCCCAGTTCCTTATTCTGGCTACTCACAGATCCCTTTCCTGAATGCTGATTATCAACAAAGCTGCAAATGATTTCAGGCTTCTGAGTCCCAGCAATAATTGCCTATTGTGTCTGCTGCAGCCAGTCCTTTCACGTTGATATTCCACAAATGCAGCCATCAGATGACTGATCCCACCACTGCACAAGTTTTTTTTTCCCTACACAAAGGAAGCAACAGAGCACTCTCTAAAGAAAAGGAGACAGAGAGGCTGTGACAGAGATCATTAGCTTTACTACAGTCAGAAATACCTCTGATGGCAAGATCACACGGGGAGAACACAGAAAGCAGAGAGGGAAGCTGGCTAAGGGCCTTTGTGGTGCCCAAACACAAGCAGCTCTATTTCTCTCTTCAACTTGGAACAGAGCTGCTGATGGCAAACCAGCCCAGGGAGAGGAACTGTGCTCCTGTCATGCCAGACTTCATCCCAGCTCTCCATTAAGGACAGTGACAGGTCCTGTGTGTTTGTTCTCTTAAGCTCCTTACAGGGCTTATCAATATGTAACTAACAGAGATCTCATTCCCAAGTAAAGGCAACACCAGGAGTTTTTCCCACTCCAGCACTGACTCCCCTCTCTCCACCCAGCACCAGTGAACACGGGGCTCACACCTACCTTGATCTGCCTGTGGATGATGTCTCTGGTGATGTTGGCTTTTGCCATCTTCTTGCAGTGGGGCAGACGAAGAGAAGCTGTGGGAAGAGCTGCTGTGCATCCAAGCATTCCAGCCAGGACCAGCCCTGAGGGGTTCAGTTACCTGCAGGACAGCAGGGGAGGGGACAGGGCAGGGACACCTCATGTCAGGCCACTCTCACACAGGGTCAAGCTCTGTTTCCCAGAAACTGTGGTGGCTAAGAACTGAAAAGTTTGGAATAAAGGCTCCTGAAGAAACTCAAGGAAGGAACAATGGAAGAATGAATGTCTGACTCAAGGCTGTTCCCAGAGAGAACTTCCCACGGAGAACTTCATGATGAGCAGAATTCCAGGACTTTATCAGCCTGGAAAATCCATGTTTCTATCCCAGCAAAGACCCTGTGAGTTGGGAGCAGAGTCCTGTTCCAGGCTTCCCTCCCACCACTCCATGACCACTCCTGTCCAATGCCATGTTTCCCAAACTCTACAACCAACAGAGGCTACACTGTGAATAAACACAGCATTGATGCTTTTGGCCACCTCCTCTCTCTCATTTACTACATTCCATTACCAGCAAAACATCCCTAAAACATCCAAAAGGGCATAAACATTCCTTGGAAGTCACAAGAGACAACCATGAGGTGACAACTGAACACCTAATTACCTCAGCGAGAGAAAAGGGGTGACCAGTTAAAATTGAAATTCCAGGAGAAATTATGAGTTTTGCATACTCTCAATGGAGTTTAATGTACTAACCTAAATAACTGAAACCCCATGGAATTGGCTACTCCTGCTAAAAAATTGCAGAATGATGGTCACACCCCTGAGCTGGACAGGCTGCCCAGCAAAGGATCAGTCAGTCCCTGAGAAGTGCTGCAATTCCCCCAGTTTCCATCCCACAGCCTGGACCAGTTTGACACTTCTACTTCTACTTCTACACTTCTCTTTAAAACCCCAAAAAGAATAAAAATTAAATTGCCAACACCCATTTTGTCCTATGTAACCCTCTAGCTAAAAATCCTATTTAAAAACATTTCCAAGCAGAACAAGCCAAAATTTTCCTCTTCTAAATGAGGAAATGCTGATTCATTGAAACAAGAGCATTTCACAGAAACACTGCAACAAACAGGAGTCCTGGCAAACCTCATCTGATTCTCTGCTGCCACAGGAGGGCTTCCACTGGCTCTCCTGTCCCACCTGCCATGGGCAGGGACACCTTCCACCCTCCCAGGGTGCTCCAAGCCCCGTCCAACCCAGCCCTGGGCGTGTCCAGGGACAGGGCAGCCACAACAACTTTCCTCAGGAATGGCTCCCAAGGACAGGGAGGGGAGGAAGCAGCAGCATCTGGGCACAAGGGCAGGTGGGTCTGCTGACTCTGCAGCTCCTGAGAAGTTTCTGAGCTGCTTCCCAAACTTCAGGAGAGACTGAGGAGCAGGAGCATGTCCAGGGAAGGGAGCTGGGAAGGGGCTGGAGCCCCAGGAGGGGCTGAGGGAGCTGGGAAGGGGCTGGAGAATTCCTGAGGGAGCTGGGAAGGGGCTCAGGCTGGAGCAAAGGAGGCTCAGGGGGAATTTCTGGCTCTGCACAAGTCCCTGGCAGGAGGGGACAGCCGGGGAGATGGGCTCTGCTGCCAGGAACAGGGACAGGAGGAGAGGGAACGGCCTCAGGCTGCTCCCAAGTCCATCCTCAAAAGACACAGGGACAATATCTCAGCACACCTCAGTGCCTCAGTCTTGTCTGCAGCCTTCTGCTCTTCTTAGTGCTTCCCTACAACATTCCCAGGCTCTGTCCACAGCCTCCCCTCTCCAAGCAACATCCAGCTTCCTCCTCTTCTTCCCTGCCAGGCAGATTTCTTCTCTTCCTCTTTGAGGAACTCAATTTGGCTCCTAGGACCCCTCCATGCCAGTGCCAGGCAGGCTGTCACCTCCCGACTGACAAACACCCCACTGCTCTTGGAGGAGTCCTTTTGTCACATCTCCTACCTCTAGTTATGCCTAACTTCTAATGAAAGGCTATTTCTAACTTCTAATCAGCTGCTTTCTCTTCCAACAGCACGAAACAACCTCAAGGACACACGTGGAAAAATGCTTGTGCATGGAAAGATCCAGATCTCCCATATACAGCCATAAATAACCCTCACCAAGAGGCCAGTTTAGAGCTAAATAAGTCACTGCAAAACCATTAATACCCTACAACCCCTCTGTATAAACAGGACATCCAGAGGGAAGGAATATCCAAACCCCCCAAAACCATGACTCCTTAACAGACCCAAATTCCCTGGTTTTTAACAAAGACTCCTCTGTGCCAGCATTTTCTGCCTTGTGGACCTCTGATACCCACCCTGGCTGGGTGAGAGCAGCAATACACAGCAGCTGGCTGTTTCTGGGAGTGTTTTTGGGATTACTGATGTGTTGTGGAGCTTCCCAACTCTCTGGACATGTCACTGCCAGCTGTGGTAACTCAGAGGTGACCCCAACAGAACACTGTAGTACAGCTCTCAGGAGATCAACACATCTTAACTTTACTTTTTAAAAGATTCAGGTGAGGAAAATCATCCATGACATCAGATCTTGGGTAACAGGCTTGGATAAAACCCAGTCAAACAGGAATGCAGGAGCCTAAGGTGTCTCTCCTTCCAGGAAAGTGCTTGACTTGGCAACTGGATGCTGTAAAATGCTCAAAGGCCTCCCTGATCTTGTGCCTTTGCTTGGCCAAGAAGGCTCCAAGAGCCTTTTTCTCCCTTCCCTTTGCTATTTTTTGTTGCTCAACAGGTATTCCACAGCTACAAAGCCTCTGGCAACCTTTAAATTACCATGGAACCACAGACAAAGGATTAAGAAGTCCCAATTCTCGTTCCAGATCACATTTTGAGCATTAGCCACAACTGATCACAATCCCAGACTCCCAATCCTCATGGATATGACAGTTACCTCATTCAAATATTAATAAATAAAAAAGGAAAAAATAAAATAAATATTAAGTGTTCTTAACACAAAATACTATTGACCCCACCACTGTGCAGGTAGATCCAGCCTCAAATTTCAAACTGACCCTGGAATAAAACAAAATCTCCCAAGATTTTAGATCTCCTGCAAAACATACATAACAAAAATCAGACAAAAACAATCTGTGCCTCCCAAATTTTTAGACACAAAGGCATCCAAACATGAAGTCCCTCCTAAGAGTCTGTCACCACCAAAGGAATTGGAAATTCCTTGGAAATTTCCACCATGGAAATTGGTAAAGTATGTTCCTCTTTAGGCAAAACCACCATGCAAATTCTGCTCTAACCCATTCTTGCAGCTTCTGACTTTTAACCAACCCAGCACAACCAACTCCTGGTGGAATGAGGGATTAAGTCCCAGAGTGAGGGACAATTTAGGATAAATCTGCACTGTTGGTACCAGTGCTGACTCCACAGGCAGCTCTCTTTGGCCACGTGTACGAGACCACCCCATCCCTCCCGATCTCTGCAGGTGTTCCAGGCCAGGCTGGACAGGGCTTGGAACAACCTGGGCTGTGGAAGGTGTTCCTGCCACTGCAATAAAAACATATTTAAGGTCCCCTTCAACCAAACCATTCCATGACTCCATGACCCTTTGGGGTTATTTCTTGGATGGCACTGGGGCACGTTTCTCTATCACCTTTCAAGGACAACTTTCCCTCACTGCTCCAAACCTTCCTGGAACACCCCAGACCAGGACCTGGGATCCAGTAACTGCTGCCACCCCCTCCAGTGACCACCTCTTCTCAACCTGCTTCCTGGAGCTCCCAGGGGATCAGCCCACCTGCAGCTCCCTGCACTTTGCTGCTGGACTCTCCTGCCACACAGAACACCAGGGGCACAAACACAACTTTCGCAACACTTGGCCTTTAAATCCACAGTCAAAAATTAACAAGGCACAGATTTCCGTGGGCTCCAAATCTGGCAGACTCTCTTTACACTGACAGTCATTTCAAAGCCCCTTAAGCTCCTGGGAAAGTGCACTTCCAAAGGGTACTCCAGGGCATGGAGGAACACTCACTCCACGTCTGGAAACAAAACCTCAACGCTGATAATACAAATAATTCCATCAATTTAACATAAATCGTTCCCAACACAGCTTGGATTTGGGAGAGTGCTCCTTTGCTGGATTGTATTTCCCTCTCAGGGAACCACCTGAGCACCACCACAGCAGCACAATGACAGTGACAGGCTCTGCACAGGGGGTCAGAGCCCCAGCCTTGGCACCAACAGCCTTTGGAAAAGCTCCATCCACCCCAAGGAACTCCACAAAGCAGCAGGACTCCTGAAATCAGCAGTTTTAAACAAGCAATCCCATTCCTAACTACCTGGATGTGCCCAAGTTTCTCAGGCTCCGAACTCAAGGTCATTGAGAAAAAGCAACACGCTGCACACCACGAGCCTCTGGATACACCACTCATCCCAAGGGAAGATTCCTTTGGCCCTTCCCTTCAGCATCTATAAATTATTTCACCCATCCAAATACCAGCCAGAACCACCTGCCTCGAGAGGCTTCTTTATCCTCACAACTTATTTCCCTGCCCTCTTTACCTTGACTTTCCAAGAGGTCACAGATCAAATTAAAATATTTAAGTGTAGATAGGAATACTTTTTTTTTTTTTTTTAGGAAACATGAAAAACCAAGAGGGAATGACCTGGTTAGCAGCAAACACCTTGTTAAAAGAAGGTTTTGCTCCAGCTGAAGGAGCTGTCAGGAGCAGCAGCGGCTCCCCAGGAGCAGGGAGCCAGGAGGAGAGGTGAGATCCAAGCCCTGACAGAGCCAGCACGAGGGGTCTGTCAGGGAAACTCTGACACACTCAGGCCACAGGCTGCTTCCCACTGCAGTCCTGCCTCTCCCTTGATCCCCAGCTGACATATCCACGGGAAAAAGGGAAGATGCCAGCCGACCCCTCAGCCCAGCACAAGCAACATCCCAGTGCCAGGTCCCGCATGGCCCAGTAGCTCCAGGAAGGAGTTTAACTGGCAAAGGAGGAGAGGCTGATCCCCTCTCCAAGGAAAGGGGCTGCAGGACACTCACCAGGGCAAGGAAAGTTTCTGTGGAGGCTTTAGCAAGGGGACAGTGAGCAGAGGAGGGAGCAGGGCAGGGTCACACCCAGGAAAGGGGAGAGGAATGTGAGGACAGGGCAGTGCCAGGGGTGGGAAGGGAAGCCAAAAAAGCAGGAGCTGTACCTGGCAGGGGGTGGTACCAGCAGATGATGGGGGGAAGAGGGCCTGGAGAAAATGGGGGTGAGGGGCTGGGGAGAGAGGATGAGTCTTTACAAGGAATCAGACTCCCGGTAAAGAGAAGGGTGTGACACCCTGGGGGAATAAGGGGACACCTGACAGAGCCTGGGATGTCCTCCTATTCTGATGGAACTGATGGAAATGACAGGGATGGGGGAAATGTCAGGAAAGGGAGGTGAGGGGGGATAGCTGGGAGGGAAGGGGGTACACGGGGATGTAGCTGTCAGGGAAAGGGTTTGGGGCCAGTAGGGCAGGCAGCTGACAGGGAATAGGGAACAGGGGCAGAGCTGGGAAGACAGGGAGCACGGCTGACAGGGAAAGGGCTGGGGACGGGATGGGGGGATGTCGCTGACAGGGAACGGGGCACCGGGGCCGGCTGGCAGAGAAGGGGCCCGGCAGATGTAGCTGCGAGCGAAGCGGGTACAGGGCGCAGCTGGCAGGGAAGGGGGCAGCGAGGGGCGGCGGGCAGGGAAGGGGAGCGGGGATGGGGGTGTCTGTCAGGGCGGAGGGGCCGCGGGGCCCGTCCGGCCCGCGGCGGCCCGTTACCTGTCAGGCCTCCCGGGCGCGAGCGCAGCGGGCACCGGAGGTTTCGAGGCTCCATCCATGCGGGGCAGAGCGGGACGCAGCGCAGGGGCCGCGGCGGGGCCCCGGCCGTGCCCCCCGCCCCCGGCCCTGTTTACCCCCGCCAGCTGTCCGGGGCTGCGCTGCGCCCCCCGCCGCCGCGCGCTGCGCATGCGCCACGCCAACTGCGCAACCGCCCCCCCCCGCCCGCCGCCGCGCCCCGCCCCGCGCAAAAGGCGTAAATCCCGTTCGTGAATTCCGCCCCTTCCTGCCTGCCGCCCCGCCGGCACTGACGGCTCCCGCAGCCAATGGAAAGGACGGAAACGGATTGAGAGATTCGCCAATCGGCGCTGGGGGGCGGGAGCGTGGCGGCGCGAAGGGGCTGCTGGGGGATGTAGTCAAGGAGGGGAAGTGATGGCCGCCGGCTCCCCGTCCCCAAACGTAGGGGTTAAAGCCCCCTGAGCTCGGACCGCTCCACAGCGGAGAGGATGGCGAAGGATCTGGAGGGGAAGCCATTAAGGCGTACACTGAGATGGCTCAGTTTGTCCAGCCTAGAGAAGAGGGGGCTGAGGGCAGAGCATATCAGGGTCTGGAGCTTCCCTGTCCCTGGAAGGGTCCCGTCCCACCCCTGCCATGGCAGGGACACCTCCCACTGTCCCAGGCTGCTCCCTGGACACTGCCTGGCCCAGCCTGGCCTTGGGCACTGCCAGGGATCCAGGAGCAGCCACAGCTTCTTGGGCACCCTGTGCTGGGGGCTCCCCACCCTCAGAGAGAGCAAGCAATTCCTGCCCAAAATCTAATCTCAACTTACACTCCACCATCTTAAGGCTGTTCCTCCTTGTCCTGTCACTCCAGGCCCTTTTAAACAATCCCTTTCCCTCTTCCTTGGCTCCTCCAGGAAAGCTGCAGTGAGTTCGCCCTGAAGCTTCTCCACAGCCAGTGCTGTCAGCTCGGGGGAGAGGAGCTGGACGCTCCCATCCTCCGGTGCCTCCCCAGGACCTTCTGTGGCTCCCTGACCTCTCCACAGCCAGCCAAACTGCACAAAAACTCACAGAAGCGAAGCGTGTGACAACCTGCTCGTCCAGCAGCACCGAGCCCGGGTTTGTTTGGAAAATAAAAGTGCCAGAAGGAGTCAGGGAAGAGCCAGGGGGTGGCAGTGTTTGCAAAATCCTTCCGTGCTCCTTGTCCTCCCCGCGGCCACCTGCCCTGGGGACACTGAGCACAAGCAGGGCTGGCGTCCCCTCCAGTCCCAATTATCTTAATGAACCCTCACAGAAAGAGGATGTGCGTAAAAGAAATCAAAACTTTCCAATTCACCTCCCTATAATTTATTTCCACAATTAAATATTCCCGAAGTCTGTTCATGAAGTGTAATGAATACTTTAAATTTTATTTTGGAACTTAATTCCCTGGCTCCCAGATAATCCCAGCTGCATGGCAGAAGAAAATTGCTACTTGATTATTCCAAAAGAAGGAGGAAAAGCCCCTTAAATCAGAGAAATCAGGTGGAAGCCTGAGGACTCTTCCTTGCACCTCCAGCCTCATAAATGACAGCTGCAATGATTTGCCTCCACCTTGCAACTGATTAACCTATTCAGCTGTTGTCACAGTTCTTTACAGAAGGTAATTGTTAACTGTTGCCTCCGCACCAGTCCAGACTCTATAATTAAACAAATAATAATCGGGATCCATCCTCACAAAAGGGTTTTATCTTCTTTTCTCAGATGCCATCTCCATGGGGATCCAAAGCTCCACGCAGAAAATGAGGCAGGCTTCAGATGCCCTTGACATGGAAGTTTTTCTCACTAATGGAGAGAAAATTGGGCCACAGGAGCTTGATTTTTTTCTCTAGCTGGTGACAGGAATGACAGGGCTGGAGCCAAGGAGGACTTGTTGGTTCTGTCTGTCAGACCTGGAGTTTCCTGATGCAGTCTCAAAGTTGGGGAATGCGAAGAAGGCGTTCCCGCAGCAATGCAGCTCCTGCAGGATAACCACACCTTGGAGAGTATCCTCGTGGAACAGGGCTGTGGCCTTTCAGAACCTTTCCGGAAAGGTACAGGGAGCAAGGAATAAATCTGCCTGAGAGCTTGCCCTTTTTACAATGTAGAAGGAAAAAAAATTGAGTCTTACAAAAGGCATTTTTAGCACTTTCAATAAAAACCTGTCTCCTTTTCTATCCTCAGGCTATACTACACAGAAAAAAAAAAAAAGAAAATTCAGTGTAAAAACCCCAAAACATGCATATAAAGTTCAGTTTCACACCCTGTGCCACAGTTAGGATATCCCAAGGTGCAAATGCAATTTCACAGACACAGATCTTACTCTGGAAGTGGTTTGTCCTGCAGACACCTGGAGCTGGACTAGGATTCGTTTGCAGGTTAAAATGGTCAGGCCAGAGCGATTTCCTCTTGGCCAAGAATCTGCACCAACCAACATCCTTTGCAGAGCTCAAGAGGCTGACGGGCCCTGGTCCAACCAAGACAAGCAAAGGAAGCACTACCAAAGCCAGCAGGCCTTCCCTGGATGCTGCAAACACCCAGCAGCCCTGCCCCAGCACAGCTCTGCCTGATCCAGGCACAAGGAGGCAGAAAAACCTGACCCAGTTGCTTCACAGGAACGTCGTACCTCTTCTAGCTCCTAGGAGCTGTTTCTGAAAGCAAAGCAGCCCCTGTGTTTTAGTCTCAGGGAGTCTCCCATTGCCAGAGCACAGTCCTGCCTCAACCCAAGCATCACCACCTGCATCGCACCGGCTCAGGCTTCTCACCCAGATATGACTAAGCCCTTTCAGAATGAGAAACGCTCAGGATTTCTTGCTTAATTGCTAAAACAGATTAATTTGCCTATCCAGCACATAGCCAAGAGGAATTGACACACCTAGCGGGTTCCTGCTGAGGCTGATGATCTGCTTTAATTGATGGGTCACGTTTGGGGGTGATTTTCCACTGCATAGCTGCCACAGGGCTGCTGGGCTCCCCTCCTGCCCTCTATGTTCCCTGCAGCCTTCTGACCACCAGCGCTTTGAGAGGCTTAAATCAGGAATGTAAGTGATGCAAACCAGCAAACGTCACCTCCAAAGCTGCCACATGTCATGGAAAGGGCCCATGCCTTTTCCACGTGCAGTCCTCTCAAGAATTAGGGGCCGCAATCTTTACCAAAAGGTCCCTTGGCTCCTAAAGTTCAGGCGGTAAACCAGGTCAAAACTCGTTTGGATTGTTCTGGTCACACACATGTGACAGGGTGTTGGAGAGGAACCAAGAAATCAGGGTGGCTGAGCCCTCAGTGCCAAGCAACCCCCCCACGCTACTCCAGTGGTTTTATTGGAGCCTTATCAGATTTCCTGGTGACTCAGAGAAAGCGGTCACCGGGGAGAAGGGCACGGCCACAGCAGCAAGCAGCGATGGGGCTACAGCTCCAGCACGGTCCCGAACAGCAGCCACCCTCCGTCCCCCCCGACCCCAGAGCTCTCCCACCCCACAGCGAGGGCCACCAGAGCAGGGCTGTGCCTCTGCAAGGAGCAAACACGGAGGAGGCGGTGGCTGCTCAGCTGCTGCCAAGAGCCCAGGTCGCTCTGCCGTGCCCTGGCTGGGTCCCCTCAGGGTGGCTGGTGTCCCCGGCGCCCCTCTGCTCCCCTGCAGCAGCAGCCAGCCCCTCACGGAGCCCGTTCTCCTCCTTTCCTCCGGCACCCCCTGCCCTCGCTTTGGGGCCCTTTCATTCCCGCACATCTCCCCTCTCCGTGCTCTCCTTCCTGCGTTTCCCCCCGTGCCAGCCTCACACGAGCACCCTCTGCCCCTGCACCCTTTCCTTCCCCCGCAGCCCTCACACACACCCCGCAGCCCTTTCCCTTCCCCTCCCGTCCTCTCCCACCTCACCCCCCGCTCCCGTCCTCCGGCCCGTCCCCCCCGCATCCCTCGAGCTCCCCTCACGGCCCCATCCCCTCACGGTCCCATCCCCATCCCCTCACGGCCCCATCCCCTCACGGTCCCATCCCCATCCCCTCACAGCCCCATCTCCTCCCCTAGGCTCCCGTCCCCGCCTCCCGCCCGACGCGACACCGCCCCCGCCGCTGCCTCCCGCCGCTGCCTCCCGCCCGCTCTGTGGGCCGAGCCCGGCGCCGCGGCCGCCCCAGCTCCGCTCGGGCTGTGGCGGGGCGGCTCCAGCCTCGCGGCCGCGGCGGCCCCGCCGCCCCCCGCCCGCCGCCATGGGCGCCGCGGCCCTGCGCGCCCTGCCCTGGGCGCTGCTGCTGCTGGGGCCGCTGCTGCCCGGGCAGGTGCTGCAGGCCAACCCCATGCTCACCTCCGAGGGCCAGCCCGCGCCGCTGCCCGGCGGGGACGTGCCGGGCTTCACCCCCGCGCCCCCCGCCGCCCCCGAGGAGATCCACCCGCTCAAAGAGCAGCCGGCCAACGGCTCGGGAGAGGGGCACGCCAAGCCCCGCAAAGCCTTCCCGGTCATCGGCATCGACTACACGCACGTCCGCATCCCCTTCGAGATCTCCCTCTGGATCCTCCTGGCCTGCCTCATGAAGCTGGGTAGGTGGGCGGCGTGGTGGGGGGAGTCCGTGGGGAAGGGCCTGGGAAGTGGCCTGGAGAAGGAGGGACCCCCGGAGCAGCACAGAGCGGGATGCCCTGTGTTGTGTCTGGGCGAGTGGGACAGACACCCCCAGACATCACAAGGAGTGACCCTGTCAGCATCTAGCACGAGGGACCCACCGAGCATCCCAGGGCGGGACCCCCCAGATGTATGGGACAGACCCCCCCCAATCATCCCAAGGAGTGACTGCTGTGAACATCCCAAGGAGGGACCCTCTCGAGCATCCTAGGGAGAGACCCCTCTGAACATTCCAGGGTGGGACCTCTGCAAACATCCCAGGGCAAAATCTCCTGCACATCTTCTGGAAACCTCCCAGGCTGGCTGGGCCAGGTGGGCACTGCTCTCCCCACGACCTTGGCTCTCTGTCCTGGGCCTGGTGGACATCCCGGTCCCTCCACTCCCAGACTCCTCATCTGCGGGCCTGGAGATGCTCCTGACCCCTGCTTGGACCCGCTTTGTTTTCCTCCCTTTGACACTCAGGGAGGAAGCATCAGTTTGCTCACTTCCTCTCCAGAGCAAAGATGCTCTTTGTAACCTTGGAGAAGTCACTCAGAAACCTCCCGGTGCTTCGGCCTCCCCTTCCTCCCCCTCCGCAGT